CTCTCATATAAACATTTCGCTGCAGTGCTGCTCCTGTGCTCTAGATCGCCATAGAATACACGCACGCACAAAGCAACTCCAGAGGAGCTCCCGAGTTCGCTTTTATGTTAATTTATTATAATTTTAAAACTTTTGTTTTTGTTCTGGCTGGCGGTGTTTGAGTGTATGGGGCATCTGCTGCTTTTGAGTTTCAGGTTTGTTCAACTTCCACCCGAGCGTGCGGACGGTGCCTTTGGAAATTTCTTTGCACGGTTTCGACGTGTACAACAGAGAAGCACGGTTGCTGGCCATGTCGCGGGCCGTGCATCAGGCGATAAAACTATACACGGCTACAACTGATGACAGCAGAAGCCGTAGCAGCCGTAAACTCAAGAACGTACTTGTATTCTGCTCCGACAGGAAACAATGCAGACTCACCGCGATCGATCTTTTGCTGCAAACAGCAGCGGACGATCAGCCTAAGAAGTATCTGCACGTATCAGGCAAGCGACCTCCACTATGTGTTTCAGTGGCTCAATGGAGCTGGAATTCTCTTTTTTTGAATGTATGGATTAGCAGTTGCTCTGTGTTGAAGTTCTTATCTCTCCCGTGCATTGTGTTTCTCCTGCGCTGTTGCAGATGACACGATGAAACAGTACACATCGATCGTGCGCGATAAAATGTTGTTAGAAACGCTCTCATACGGGGTTGGCCTGTACCACTCGGGCTTGTCTGCTGCTGAACGTCTGCTGGTGCAGCAGCTGCACTCCAGCGGGGCCATTCAAGTTGTAGTTGTTGCGGAGGAATCTGCATGGGGCCTTCAGATGAGCTCCCATCTGGTTGTTGTTGTCGACACCAAACGATTCACGGAGAACGGGTGCGTCTTTGTATAATTTCATATTCATTAAGCAACTGAAATCACCATAACTCAATTCAAATCATGCTAAAGAAGAATACAGATAGACAGAGAGGAGCGTTGCAGTGTCTACCAACAGTTGCAGCCATCCGTATGAGGGTCACCATGCGTGGGCATGCACGAGGGGAGCAGCACGTTGCTCTCCATGCCTCAGTTATTCTTTTTTTTCTCTTTATGCTTTACGCTGCAGGTACGAAGACTACCCCATTGCAGACGTGCTGCAGATGTTGGGCCGGGCGACTCGCCCTGGTATCGACAAGCATGGGTATGTGGTGCTTCTCTGTCCATCGAGTAAGAGGGAATATTATAAGAAATTCATATTTGAGCCGTTGCCTATTGAATCACAACTTGAACAACACTTGCAAGACCACGTCAATGCTGAAGTTGTACTGAAAACCATCGAAAGCAAACAGGATGCCGTCGACTGGCTCACCTGGTCTTTCCTGTACAGAAGGCTTTCCAAGGCAAGTTGAAAATATAAATACAAATATACAAAACTTGGATATACACCTGAATAG